TATAGAAAAGAAATGTCCTACAATGTCACCACAGGAACACTGATGTCAGCCTGTGCTGCCCTTCTGTTTTTATCTTGCCTGTTTATTCATCTCCTAATTCATCGGATGAACGTGCAGAGCTACCAGGAGACTGAAGTATATGGGTCCAAAGTGAAGGCAGGTCTTCATACTTTTCAGGAGTGATCAAGGGCAGGTGTTGTGGCAACCTGCAAGCCAGGTTTTATTCTTTTGCATTCTTACTGGAATTTATCACAGTCAATATGCCAGTAGTCTTCTTCTCTTTTGTGTCTCTCCCCAGCACCAAATCCTTAGTTCTTGCAGAGCTGCATGACTTTTGGGAAGAACACTGATGTGCCGGTGATTATCACACTGATGATAGCTGCTTAGATGGCACCAGGGAGGAACTGGACTGAAATTTATGTGCCTTATTCTCAAGCACTTTTTTCTTGTTCATGAGAAGCAGAGGGTTTTATACAGGCATGAGAAGCAAAGCAGCCTATGGGGAAATGTGGGAAACAGGCTTAAAATTGTCCCAAAAATAGGCCTAAAATTGTCTTACAAACCTTCAGCCCAGTCCAGAGGACAAAGTGTGTGTTTGTCTTTCTTTAGGGCTTCACAACACCCAGCTCTAAATGTCACTAGCACGCAGAGGAACAGGAGTGACCATAATGCTCAGAAAATTCCCCCATTCGCTACGTCAAACTCTTCCAGCGACACATCAAGCAGCTCTTCACTTTCATCAGAACCAACCAGCCAGATCTCCATGGTTCAGGATCAAACCCTGCTGGACATTGCCTCCATCACTAGATTGGCCCCAGGAGAATCACCAAACCCTCAGCCATTTGAGCAAAGAGATAAACATTTAGCAATATTGTGTCCCAGCCCACTTGGAGCAAGGACTATTCCAGCATCTTGCCCAGCCAGCCCCAGGCTCAGTGTAACACCCAGCTCAGCCAAGCCACAGCAATACTCTGACTCTTCTCCAGTCAGTCCAGGGATCAATGCAGCTTCCTTCTATACCTTTTGTCCTCACACAGCACAAAACTTACAAGCTTCAGCATCAGATCACACACTGACCCCAACAAGGAAAAGCACAAGGCCTCCAGCAACGACTCCTGAAGATAGTTCCCAGTCTCCTGGCTATTCTAAAACTGGATTAAAGAATACAGGAAAGGGTTTTGAATCAGATCTGGAAGATCCTGGTCATGAAAGGTATGTATCCAGACCATACACAGGTTTAAGTCCTCCAATGACTCAAAATGGTTTAGGGTCATTAAAAGCCCCTCACAGAAAAAATTAAATATCCTTTATAATTTAGATGCTCCCAGTGTCTTTTTATCAAGTAACTACCCTGTGCTCTCACTAAACCCTGTTACCTAAGAAGCAAAATACCGTATTTTCCATACATCCATTTAGCTCTCCAGCCCTGATCACAGACCATTCCTGGGCCAGACTGTCAATCTCAGTTCTTCCAGCAGGACACAGTTTTAAGGTGCCTCATTTCCTTCCAGATGAGAAAGCACATGTCTCCCTATGCTAGCAGAGAGAAACTCTGCTGTGTCTATGAAGCCTGACAGATAAGAGCTGGGGATGGTACTCAGTGACATAGCCAGTATCTCCCTTCCCAAACCTCAGGCTCTGTGATTCCAACCCTGGGCAAGCTGGGTGGATTTCACCCCTCTGAGCTTCTGAACTCCACACTGTGTCTGCCACTTCTTTCCTTGGCAGGACATTTGTAACCATGAAGGAATTCCAAGCCATGGAGGAAGAACTAGAGGATGTAAAAGAAGAATTGAAATGCCTGAAGTGGAAAGTGAGACACATTGGTGAGACTGTGCAGCCCTTGGCTGAAGACAGCAAGCGTTACAATGGCTATACCCTGACAGAGCTCAAGGCAATGGTGCAGTTTGAGGATGACCCTTACAAGGCTGCACACAAGATCCTAACTGTGCTCTTCAGTGATGTCTACTTGCTACAGCACTCGGTCACTGAACAGGCCTGCAACTCCCGATCTCTGCCCAAGCCCCAAATAGACCCAGAGCTGTACACAGTGTACTGTGACATTCTGAGGAGCATATTCCCTGGAATTAGCAGCCAGACCTTGAGGGAGGAGACACAACACATGCAGAAAAGCACCCAGAAAGAACTGCAATAACACCAGAACCCCCAACATGTTCTGGAAAGTGAGAAGTGTCCAATGATTTTAGAGGATTAACTGTGGTAGGTACCATTGGTTGAGTCTATCCCTACTAGGTATGAAGCATCTCTAAAGATACTGGTGAGCTCTGAGCCCTTCATGCCACTTGCCCAGTGAGACAGGGTGGGAAGGCATTCTGCATACTTCTGACATTCTAGAGAAAAAAATGCCCCTTAGTGTCTTTTTCAATATATGGACGTTTCCTTGTTTCCAGCAACTACAAATGCTGACAAAAAGATCCAGAGAAGGCATTATATGTCCACGCAAGGGCATTCTCCCAGCCCCAAACAGACCAACAAACCAGCATCTGGGTAGTTTCTATTTTCTAGAGTATATCATTCATTAAATGACATTACTTGTTAGAAAATTGTGCCTGGGTTGTTTTGTTTTAGGTTGGGGAGGGGGGGGGGTGTTCTGTTTTGGGTTGGGTTTTTTGTTTGTCTCACAATGCTTTGCACATCAACCAATAATCATAACTTGGATACACACTGGGATGTGACCTGGGAATGCAGCAAACCACCCTCCTCTGCCCAGCTGCATCCTGGGTTACATGGGAAGAGCACCAGGCACAGAGGTCAGGGGTAGTAGCGCACCCAAGCAAGTCTCCATTCCGGGTAACTGGGGCCTGGGGCATAACAGCGTGCTACATGCCCCTAAATCACCAACCCACCGGTGATACAGGTAAAAATCTGTGACCTTCATCTCTCCCAGCCTCTACCAAGTGATTTGACAGACCAGCTGTGCATTCCTGTGACAATGGTGCTGAACGGCTGGGCCATTGCGAACACCCTGGAGCGCCTTCCTCTCTGTCTGGGACCAGCAAAGTGCAATGGATGAACCCTAGTTTGTCCATCAGGTTTTGCTCACAAGCCTTGCAGCTCATTTTGTAAAGATCAGGTGAGAGTGGAGGGTTGGAGAGATGTCCTTGTGCCATTTTGCTCACTACCAATGGAAGATGCTGCTTCCCTACCCTATTGGATCCCCACCCATTTCAGACAGTCATTGACACTTCTTGGAAGCAATCACACCCCTGGTCTCAATGTGACAGGTACATCAAAACCCAGAACATGTCCACCCTGCACACTGCTGCTGCTCCCTGCCAGTCTACTGAGAATAGCAAGGTGAGCAAAAGGTAACCTGCGAGTTCAGCCTACCTTTCCCTCTGCTGAGATAAAATCAAATAATTAGGCTTATTCCAAAAATGACAGGAAGGAGGAGGTAAAAAAAAAAAAAATAGAAAAAAAATAAAAGCAGCTCATTCCTTGTGTCACCACAGCTCCAGACATCATTGGAGACAGGACACTTCAAGGACATGCTCTGTACCTTCTGTATAAGGATGTTCTGACATTTGTATGAGAGATCCTACCTGTCTTTCAGCATGATGTACCTATACTGTTCTCTACTGGGCTTACATATACAGTTTTTTAAGCTCTTTACTATTAGCAATTTATTTTACTTATGCTCCAATGTGCAGTCACAGGCACAGCACTTTGCCCATGTAGCCTTTCTGTACCAACTACAGCTAAAGATGCACAGCCACATCCTGCACATTACCAGATAGCTACAGTGTCCTGGGTTCAGCAGTAGCAGTCATTTTTCTCCTTCTTAGTAGCTGGTGAAGTGCTGTGGTTTTGACTTTGAGCCTGGGAACGGTGCTGATAACACCAATGTTTTTAGCTGTTGCTCAGTAATGTTTACTCTGACCAAGGACTTTGTGAGTCTCAAGCTCTGCCAGGGAGGAGGGGAAGCTGGGAGGAAGCAGAGACAGGACACCTGACCCAAACTAGCCAAAGGGGTATTCCATACCATAGCACATCATGCCCAGTATATAAACTGGGGGCAGTTACACAGAAGGGCTAGATCACTGCCCTGGTTGGGCTGGGTATCGGTTGGTGGGTGGTGAGCGGCTGTATTCTCTTCTCTTGTTATTTCCCTTACCATTATTGTTATTGGTGGTAGCAACAGTGATTTGCGTTACACCTTAGTTACTGGGCTGTTCTTATCTCAACCCGTGGGATTCACATTCTTTTGATTCTCCTCCCCATCCCTCCAGGAGTGGGGAGGAAAAAAGGGGGAGTGAGCAAGTGGCTGCATGGGTCTGAGTTATTGGCTGGGCTTAAACCATGACATACAGCAAAACACACAGTTGTGCACAGCATACACCCTTGGGGCAGTCACAGTACAAAAGGAAGGGAAAGGTAAAGGATGCTCTCCCCAGCCTGCCAGCTCCCTTCGCAGCTGGGCACAAGGGTGAGGAGGGATAGAGCTGCTGGAGATGCAGTGTCACCTCAGAGCAAATCACACACGCCAGTGAGCACCAGGGTGGATTGCAACAAATGGTCTGGAAGGCTCCATGCACCATGGAGGAGATGTTTGTGTCTCACAAAAGCACCCCGTCTTGCAAGCATTAATGCCCTGCTTTCATAGTTCTTTCATTTGTAGGAAAATGCATCCCTTCCTTTGGTTCAGACGGGTGGAAATAGGCTGGCCCTCCTCTCACAGAACTCACACAGGTACTGCTGCTCCAGACTTGGTTTTATATGACAGACCAGACCCCCAGCTCTCAGAGGTCTCTCTTCAGAGCTCACTATAATCCTCATCGGGCAAAGAACTAGGGAAAATGCAATATCAATCTTCATAATTTCTATTGCTTGCCCTCTCTGTCTGTAAAATCTGACAGCTGTTCCTGTGAGAACAGGCTCTGTGGCAGCTCATGTTCATGAGGCCAGACAATATGCTCAGATTATTTCTTTTAGCCTTGTCCTCCTCATGTCATCTAGTAATAAGGTCCTGCACAGATATATGAATTATTTTTATTAGCATTGCATCATCAAGCAATGAGTCCCTTTCAGGTTTCAGTGTCATCTTTTTTCTGGATCAGTTGTGGTATGGATCACTTCTGCCCATTTTAGAGATGTGCATTAGGTCTTTCACCCTGGTAGTTCTGCCTTTTAGCTATTCCAGTGGAGCTTCCAGGTTATTTATATCCAAGTGGAGTTGGCCAGTCTTCCCAACATTATTATTAGGTTATCTCCAACTTCTGAGTCCTACAGACTGTCCCCAGTGCCTTACCTGCCACAGCAGCCCAACTGATTGGCTGCAGGGAATCTGTGAAAAAAAAGAACAGGGCATACCCATGACATTTGTCCTTTAGACTCCTTGCTTCCTTCTCTTCTGCATCCATACCTTGAAGGCAGCTCTGCCTCTGTGAATGCTGTTTGCTCTCCAGTTACTACACCTGCAGTTACTGTCTGCACCTCTGTGACCATCTCCAATACTTGAGTCACTTCTCTGATTTTTCTACAGGGAGAAAAATCCACTAATTTTCTACCAATTTCCCTGAGAGCTTTTTGTTTGTATTCCTGTGCATTCCCAAGTCCTTTCATCCTTTTACAAGGCTTAGCTTTCCTTGCTAGCTTTGCTTACCTAGCTCTGCTAGGGAGAGCAGCACAGCTGTCTTCCCACAGTTCTGAAGAGCTTTTCTGCGCACAGCCTATTTTTTCTGCAGTCACCCACTCCTAACACAACAGGAGGATAAGGGCTGAACGCCTACACCAGCAGAAAGAGCCCTTCTCCTTGGAGGGTAAGAGAACTGAGTCAGCATAACAGAAGTAAGACAACACGGGCCTGAAAGGAATTTTTTTGCTTTCACTTTCAGCACCCTGCACTTGCCAGAAATGCGTCCTGTTACAAGCATGCTCTGTCTTAAGACATTAGGTCTTGCTGCCTGGTATTCAGACAGAAAGGCAATTACATTATTCAGATAGTTAAAAAGATTCAGCAATTGTTCTTCTTGGACAATCCATGCTGATTTGCACTGTGCCTGTGTTGCTCCTTAGCCTGAATAAGCCTTCTCTCCAAAATGTTATCACCATCCCTTATATAGAGACAGAGAGAGAATGCAATCAGACACATAGTGAAAAATTAGTCTATAAATCCATGCTGCATTCCATCTATACACCATTCAAATATATAACTCTTATTTTTTTCCTTGAAAATGGATTTTCCAGTCTGAAGACCCCATAGCAGATCAAATGATTTTTTTCTTTCTTAACTACAGGCATTACATTTGCTATTCTCCAGTCATACCCAAACGCAGAGATTCATTAGTATTACACTTATTCAAGTAACACGCACGGTCTGTTACATATTCATCTCTGCATGTAACCTGAGGACCCAAGAGCCACAGCACAGGTTGTCTTCCCTTGTGTCATCTCTAGGAGCAGATGTCTAGTCAGAAGTATGAGGACATGAATACTTTTTCCAGCCTCAGGTGATCTATAGTTTGTACTGACTGATTGCATTAAATAAGCAGCCTTTTAATATCCACCACGCTGTGGCTCTGTAGGCTTCAGTTGGCAGAACAGTCTACAGCAGATAAGTTATGTTAAACAGAGGGTCCTGATCCATACTGGTCATAGAATTGCTAAATAATTTAGGCTGGAAAGAGCCTCTGGAGGTCAGCTGGTCCAACCCCTCTGATCAGACAGCATTCAACTAAAAGAAACTGAATAATAAAATATGTGCTGCAAAAACTAAGCCACTGCAATACAACAAACAGCTGGCAACACACATCCCAGAAAAAAAGAGAAGCCATACAAACAACCTGCACTGGAATCACTTGCAGACCAGATCCACCATGGGAAAATGTGGGGAGTTTCCTTCCCCCAGAAACACAATGCTGGGAGATCATCTGGACAGGAGCTCTCCACAGGCTATTCACATCTGCATCAGTGGAGAACAAAGATAAATGGCAAAGTTTCTGTGGCACTGTTTTGGAGGCTCCTTTACCATGGTTACATCTACATGCATTGCCAATCCATTTTTCAGACTTCTCGTTAATATCTCTAATGCATAATTGCAGTCAAAATCAGTCACTGAATCATACATTTTATGAGCTCATGCTTACCCGTTCATACTGTTAATAATAATATCTCTGCATAATGTGAACACTTGCTGCAAAACAAGTCCACCAGCCCTTCTGGTTTACGACTTAAAATATAGCAGAGCTAGTTATAGGCACCTGTCAACTACTTTAGATTAATTATCAGCACCATCTATACTGAAATCTGAGTCATAGGAGTTTGGGCAGCACCATTAATTACCATGAATCTCTTCTCAACTCTTCCTACCCAAATGCCTCCTTCTTATGATGTGTTCTCTATACATTTATATACCTAGCTCCTCTTTGCACACTCCTGCTCAACTTGACTTAATTTTCACATTAAATCTACAATATTTGTTTCCCAAGGTGAAACTACTTCTGGAGACCCTTTTCTATTTCTTACATCCATATCCTTCTACAAGTGGTTCCTCTTTCACTATGAGCCCTCCCCCGTGGACCTCTCCTCCCACTGCAGTTTGACAGGCAGACGAGTGTCCAAGAAGTCATCCCCCAACCCTCATTCCCAAACCACAAGCAGATGACCAAGGTGCAAATCTCCCTTGGGCCTTAATGCTACTGTCCCAGAAAAAAGTGGCACTGGGGGGATCCCAAAGGACTTGAGATGAAATGCATAAGGATGGAATACAAACTGATTTACCCAAGTACTCCCCTGAGAAACGCAGATCTTAGCTTCTTGCACATTTACTGGAAAGAATATATTTTCTCAATGCCACAAAGAGAGTGATGAAATTATATACCAGTGTCGTGCTGGGTCAGTTGGGTTTGATCAGATCTCCCATTTTGTGTTAATATTCAGATACATGACCATCCCAGAGAGATGAATAATAGGATCTATTTCATTTCTCTGACAATGTTAAACATAATAAAAAGTCTTACTATTATCCCACATCCTTCTCCATGAACTCTGGCCACAGACAGATCTCCTGTTGGTAATGGAAATGTCAGTTTGATTCATCTGTTCGCCAGTTAATCCTTACCAAACAACTTCCAATATATAGCAAGCCATCCAAAAACATTCCTTTGGAAACAAGCCAGAACCAACATTCACTGTAGATTAGTTTTTACCTCTGTTTAGGCTTATAGCATTTCAGGTAGCTTTCCTACTTACTCTATTTTTAGCAGTGCCTCCAGCAGACCAGGAAAGAGGCAGATCATGAGACTTCTGCTAATCTGCAAATCTGAATTGATCATTGGGAGACCAAATTTATTATTATTATACAGCTAGATGACGACAGCAGATATGACCTTTCTGCAATGCCAAAAGTCTTATCCACACTGATCTAGGCATTTAATCAGAAGGGAGAAGTATAGATTATTATGTGTCAAAGGAAAAACTTTCTCCCTATTCAGACACTGAAGTATTAAAACAGATTGCACAGAGAGGTCGTGCAGCCTCCAGCCCTAGAGGTTTTCCAGGCCAAACTGGATGAAGCCCTCTGTGTAACCTGGTCTGACTTTGGTAAGGTAAAAACCAAAAAGTGTACACACAATCACAGAAAGCAGCCACAGACACCTTTGATGAATGGGAGCACAGAGCCATGAATAACAACAGGCACAGCCCCATCAGTGTTTCACACTTGCTGAGCCTCACTTGTAAGCAAGCAGGTTGACAGTCCCCAGTGTCCCAGCTCAGCTCGCTGGGCCTGCTGACTCATTTTCCTGCCAACCACTCTGTGCATCCTGTAAAGCCGATGCGACGGTGCTGCCTCAGTCCTCGCCCCTTTGATGGAAGATGAAAGCTCTCTCTTACTCAAGATGAAAAGTTCTTTCCCCAGCTTGTTATAGACAGAAATGTCTTTTCTGGCAGCCACCTTATGCTGCCGTCTGGCAGAAGAGAAATCTTAATGGAAAAGATGAAAGGGCTCAACCGTTCCCAGTTCATAACCTTTAACACAGGGCCCATCTCCTCCCCCAAGTACAGTGCTCCCTTTGGGTGAAGAGTCATTTCCCTGAGAAACCTTCACAGCCATAGCTGCTTCTTCTGCACTTCCCTACCCTTTATGCCTACAATGCTTAATTTCCATCCAAGCCTTTGACCAACATCTGTTTCAGCTCCAGCCATACTGACTGGGACATGGTTTGGAGATCAGTTCAGTCCATGACCCTCAGCTGGCCTCACATTCTCAGGAGGCAGCAGCTGAGTACAAGGCTCCTTCTGGCCTTTACAATAGCTCTGATATGCAGTGTCCAGACCTACAACTTCTTCTTAGCACTGCACCCACCCCCTGCCTCCTCCAGGGCCAGAAGAGTTTCAGGTAGCAACTGCCTTCTTTGCCAAGAAGATGGAGACTTGGCTATTTCTAAGTTCCTTTAGCATTCTTCAGCATTCACCTTGACATGCTTAGCCCAGCTTGATGAACTGCCAAAAACCTTCTTTTCCAGTTACGTTCAGATAAACTAAGGAACATAAGCAACAGAGCTCTGAAACAATGGATCTGTCTGCTATATGTCCTTAGGTTTATGGTTCCCCAGAATGCACATCCTCTAGGAAAATCTCCACAAAATCTGTACATTCTGACATTTTTGGAAGTCCCATGAGCAATACAGCAAAGATGCACACTAAGTCAAGTTGATTTTAATCCCAACAAAGAGACCTTTGAGAGAGTTAAAAGCTAAAGTTAGGATTTCACTGTGGTCTCCCTGTATAATTGGACCCTTCCAGAAATAAACAGCACACCTGGGGAAGGCTGCTAGCAGATCGTAAGTGGTGGCTTTCCTTTCCTAATTAGAGCCAGAGCAGTGAGCTATGGGTGGAGGACCATGAAGTGTTGGAAGCAATAGTCCAGGCTGGGAAGCTCTAACCCTGCTGATCATTAGGGTGGTCAGTTCTGTCCGTCAACCAAGAGCTAAGAAAGCAAACACTAGAAAGCCATCAGACAGAAGGTCTGTAGCCTTATTCTCACATTTTCCAGTAATTCCTAGGTCAGTAAGACACAAATTGCAATTGTTTCCTTTTATGCCTAGAATACAATACTGCAGCACTTCACAGGGTCCTGAGCCAGGGTGATGGGAGCTGATGCTATTAGACAAGGGTGGAAAATGGATCTCTTCCCAGCAAGATTTAGAGGCCAGTCGGACAGGAAATTACTCCAGGTGGGCACTCTGTCCCCATCTCTCAGTTCTCCCTGCAGCTAGGAGATTCACTCTGTAATTGCTTTCTTAGTCCACATTTTATCCTCAGCTGACAGAATTCCATTAGGGTGATAGAAGCTGTGTGATAAAGGGATGTTTGTGTCTCACAGGGGCTGTAAGTCATTTCTCAGCAAACAAGCAAATAGTCACAGAAATGGGCAGAGAGACCACTGAGCCAGGAACCCTCCTTGTGCTCTGAACACCAGGACCTCAGCACCCAAATGGAAGCAAACATTTTTCCAGTGTGTTATTCTCCCCTCTGCTTCCCCTGCTGCTCCTCAGAGGAGACAATGTCAGTCAGTGCACATCTCCAGACTGAGTATTTTTGAATGGACAATAATCCGTCAGGCAGATGTGCAGCACCTGCACCCCTAGAAATGAGGGCCCCATAGAAATAAGAGCCCCTGGCACTGGAACTGGGATTGGTCCCAGTGCTCATTCAGGCTCCCTTACGCATTGTTCACATCCTCACATTATCACTGTCAGCGAGTCCCATCTTTGCCTGTTCCAGTGTGTTACCTGCTATACAAGTATATCTTACATCTTACAGGATGAACCTGGAAGAGTTTATTGTGTAGCTCTTACAGGTTCATCCTCCAAAATGAGGATGAGTCTCCTGACTCGGTAATACTCAAACTTCATGTCTTCTATCCTGCCTTTTACACTATCGTTGCATCACTGCTTGTTCCCTTGTCCACAGAAAGGTGCTTCTCGCTGTTTAAATTCTGCTGTATTAAACCACAAAAAAAGCAGAAATTGAAAGGAGAAGTCGCAGGTCTTCCCAGGCATCCTGGTTTTCAGATTATGCTGTGAAGAATGATATCTTTTTAGACTGGTATCTGTGAAGACTGGTATCTTTTTAGAGATCACAAAAGAGGCAGCATGACACATACTCCCTCCCAGATTATTTCTTTATCCCTGCCCTTCTCAGTGTCATTGTGGGACAAATTAATTTGTGTTATCTTGATCCAACCCCTTTAAAGCAAGTCACTACAGGTAAAGGTGAGCAACCAAGACATGAAGGTTTTTGAGTGGCCCAGAAATTGGAACTGGGTGAAAGTTTAATAATTTACATCACAGGCTTCAGCAAGATTTCATATTAATCCTTCTCTGTCCTTTGTCGTGCTTTTGACAATGTCAGATGATGTTACTGAGCACATTCTTGCTGAATTACTCTTGCTGAAACTGTGCCTGACATTGACTGAAGTGCTCCGTGGGGATTTCCATGATTGCGTGTTTACTCTTTCTCTTTTCCCTCCTGTAAATCCTAGACTGACACGACTGACTTGTGACCAGCTAGTTAAAAAATGGTGAAAAATGTAATAAAATGGTTTTTTGGTTTTTCTAATCCTGATTCACTGTGGAAATTAGTCGAGTAACTCTGAATACAGAGGGCTGACTAGGACAATGAGTTATCTTTGGTTATATGAAAGGTCATTGCATTTCAGCTCCAATTAGGAGGGCAAACGTTGACATCTACCCTACAGAGATTAATGAAGTATTTTCTAAACATTATGCTACTTTCTATATATGACTGACTGGAATTACGGACTGCATTAGGCCTTGCCTCACTGGCATATGTCATCCCAAAGCAGAGAGCAGCTGGCAAACCCTTCTTTCAGACAGAGCAGCAGGGGAGGCTGTCCCACAACTTAGCAACATTTGGAAATACTTTAAAGACTTTCATGGTCTTTCAACAGTGTGGCAATTGTGAGGAATCTCTTGAATGGGTAAAGAGAGCTGCTAGGAGAGGTTGGCAGAAGGTACAAACCAGTATTCTAGGTGCCAGACCAGCTATACTAGGTACAGATTTCCAGAGGCAAAAAGTGTGAAAACTGGCTGCAGCTACCAACTAAGCAGGGAAGAGCAGGTGGCAGAGAAAGATGATAGTGTCCTGGTTTCAGCTGGGACAGAGCTGATTTTCTTCCTCATAGCTGGTGCGGTGCTATGGTTTAGATTTAGGATGAGAACAATGCTGATAACACACTGACATTTTAGTTGCTGTTCAGTAGTGCTTCTCCTGATCAAGGACTTCTCAGTCGCTTGTGCTTTGCCAGTGAGGAGGGGCACAGCCAGGACAGCTGATCTGAACTAGCCAAAGGAATATTCCATACCATAGAATGTCATGCGCGGGATATAAACTGGGGAAAGTTGTCTGGAAGAGGCTGACTGCTGCTCAGTGACAGGCTGGGTATCACTCAGTGGGTACTGAGCAATTGTGTTGTGCATCACTGCTGTTTGTTGGATTTTTTGTTTGTTTTACATCTTTTTGTTATTTCATTATTAGTATTAACATTATACGTTATGTTAATTATTATCTGTTCTTAGCTCAACCCACGAATTTTAACTTTTTCTGATTCTCCTCCCCATCCCACTGGGGAAGGGGTGAGCGAGGGGCTGTGTAGTATTTAGTTGCCAGCTGGGGTTAAACCACAACAGAGAGAACTGTAAAGCATCTGAGCTTGACCAAGTATTCTGCAATAATTTACAAAACTTGGATTTACCTCAAAGGATTACGGTTGAAAAATCATTAGTTCACTGCATAGGATCTGAGATGCTCCAGACAGATACAGAGAAGACAGATGAGCATAGAAAGTCCTCTCCTCCTCATACCTTTTCTGATCAATAAGAAGGATGCTATTCTGTGTCAGGGAACACAACAGATTTAATTTCTCTTCAAATTCAGTGCAATTTGTTCAGCAGAACAAACAATGTGACAGGACTCATCTCACGTAGAGATTGCCTATATGACAATGTGATTGTGCCTTAAGTCTTAAAAACCTTGCAATAGCCTCTCCTCTTCCAAATGCACACATTTGAAACTGTTCTAATCCCTACCAATAAACCTCCTTTCAGATCCTCCTCTTTTTTCATTGTGGAGTTGCATGTAAAGAGTATCTGATGTGGAGCAAAAATTAAAACTTGGTTCTTGGTAGAGCTACACTGGTAAACACACCAGGGGAGACCTCTGAACAACAGAGGGCTCTTTTGTGAATCCAGTTTGGGAAAAGCCTTTAAACAAAGTATTTTGTATTTAGTACAAAATATATTTTGTTGCTCCATCAATACAGAGAAATCTGGGAAGTGCATTGCTATCTTGTGTCTTTTCAGCCTAGCCAACAACAGTTAAGAAGCATGCTTTATATAAGCAAATACCCAAGATATTGCACTCATGACTTAGTACAGAAAGGGAAGCAGCACATTTTGATTCTACATCAGATGTCGCAGAAGTATATCTCTGCTTCACGTCTAAAAGCATATACTGACTTCAGATTTCAGTTCTCTCTGGAAACAATGAGCGAGTTCTAAATGAGAAAGGAATAATCTTTTATGGAAGAGATTTACAGGTTATCACAACTGAGAAATGTTCTGTGAAAAAATACATTTGCATAGCTACAAATCCTGCAGCATAATTATTTGGTTAGAGGTTTTGTTTAAACGACTACATATGCAGAGTAGTTTGTTTAAAAATGCAGTTCCCTCCTTACCTTCTGCTAGTTAAAATGCATTTACTGTTTTCCAAAACTGATGGTAGGTTGCTGGCAACACAACTGGTTGGTGCAGCACAGAGGTATGGCCTCCTTGTTCATATAACCAAATTCAGGCAAAATAGAAGAATAGAGCAGGGGGGTGGAGAAAATCAGGCAGGTAATGACCATTTAAAAAAAAAAAACAACAAAACAGAAAAATGAATTCATGCTTTAAATTTCATTACTAAAGTAAATGTCCTGTAGCAAATAAACCTTCTTCTCATAAGACAGGAGGTGGTTCAGCACTGGCAGACATGGAAAATCTTATATTTGGATGACGCATATCTTGGAGATGTAGATTGCAGTTATTTAGGGCTGGATGTATTCAGGACCTTCCAATCACAATCCCGTGTTATCTTTTCCTCCTCTGCAGTCCTTTCTCACATATGCAGGTTTTTGGACGCAAAGCTGTTAAGGAAAATAAAGTGCTGTTTTAAGACTGTACCTGTATTAACAGTGAAACCACAGACTAAAATGAGGAAGAAACATGTCCATTTCTCTTTCCATCTCAGAAGGAAAGCTAACCTACTCTTCTCAGTAATGTTTCTTACATTGACAGTGAGCGTTGCCAATTTTTTCAGTCCTGTGGAACCACTTTCCTGGGGAATCTGGTCTGAATTCAATGTTGACACTGTTCTGAG